CAATACTAACAAAGAAAAAGAAAATTATAGGACTTTACAAGAAATGATCTATAACTCCTTAGCTGTGAGAACCCTTGGAGTCTAAGTGTTCTTAGACTCCCTCCACCTAAACCCCTTAGCTTTCTGACCTTTGCCTCATGACCCTGCTCCTCCCCCTCATTAGCCAGCATTCTCTCTCTAGAAGAACTGCCTTTTTCCCATGCTAGGCAACTCCTGGCCATAGCTGTGGCCCCAAAACGTGGTTAGCTCTATTTCACTAAGGAACTCACACCACCTACAATAGGTGACTTTGGTCCTGATTGGAACAATACATAGATTGAGTCTACAATAGCAGTTTTCAATGAGGGGTAATTTTGTCCCCCAGGGGACATTTAGCAATATCTAAAGTTACTTTGGGCTGTCATGACTAGAAGAGGGTACTACTGGCATCTAATAGAAGCCAGGGACGATCATAAACATCTTACAGGATATACACACACTCAATGACAAAAATTATCTGGCTCAAAATGTCAATAATGCTAAGATTAAGGAAGTCTGGTCTCAAAGACAAGTAAGCATTTGGGTTATGGGTATCTAGCTGAGTCCGATCCCTTCTAGAACATCTAGTAAAGCTTATGAATACATGAAAATGGAGGGGCAATGGGTGCATGTGTCTAACTCTATCTTCCATGGAAAACTTCAAGACTTTATGTAGAACTGGCTTCAGGGCACCCACTCTCAATTACCCCAGGACATTCCGAAGTCTCTTGTGAAGAATCCTGCCGTCCACACAAATGGCTCTGGACTTCCTATACAGAGAGGGAAAAAGCTACCTGCCTAACCCATACCCAAGTCTCTAGCCATTCCAGCCTCTACACAGACCAGTTCCAAGGTTGTTCTTGCCCTTCCACCTTGCCCCCAACTTACCAAGCACCATGGAAGGAAGGTAGGAAACATAAGGCTATGGATGAATTAGAAACATGAGGCAACGCTCAGCTAGCAAAGGAAGGGTCTCACAGTCAGCCCCATATTTCCTTTTTGTTGACAGGGTAGCTTCAGAAGTAGCAAACTTTTGGGGAAAAGAGACATCTCTAGCCTCTGGGCTACCAAACCAGAAATGCTAAATGCCCCTGTGCTTAGTTATATTTAGAGCCCTAAAGCTTTCTCCATGCCCTGGGCACACAAAAGATCAAGTCCCTTAGCCAAAGAAGGTATGAAGGAAGTGGGATCAGAGCTCAAGTATCCATTCTCCAAACCCCACCACCAGGTGCTAGTCTTCTCACCTCTAGCTCATTCAGCCTCTGGATTCGGGGAGTGAACCTGAAGTTGTCTACTTCCACAGCAAAAGGTGGCTGCCAGTCCTAAGAGAACAGAAAGGGGAAAGGAAACTTGGGTTATGCCAGTATAGTGCAAGATCAGAGGGCATCAAAAGTACCTCAGCACCCTATTAACACCTTCCCAGGCCTCCATTAATTTATCTGGTAAACACTCAATTCACCCACACTCATATTCCCTCATAAGTCACAACAGAGCCTAAAAGCCCCATAAATCTATATCCAAGGCCTCATGTACATGCTCGAGCAAACTTCTCCTACTTAAGTAGCTCCCAACAGTATAGTGCCAGGATTTTGATAAAGAGATGGAGCCCAAAACTGTTGACCCCAAGCCCTCCACATAACCATATTAACACCCTGTCCTCTAGACAGGACACAGAGTCTGGGGTACTACAAAGTACACAGAATCTGGAGTCAGAAGACATGGGTTCATGTTGTAGCTATGAGAGCTTACCTTTCTGAACCTGTTTTCTCATCTGCAAGGGAGGCATATGAACTCCTGCCTTGGCTTCCTCACAAGACCAATAGGGAAAAATAAACTAGTTTTCAAATGAAAATGTTATTCAAAGGAGTCATCATTAAGACTTGACATTTAAGGATAACCTACACAATACACATGCAGAGTAGCTCAGTTCTGATTCTGACAGATTTAAAGGTTTGGACCTTCGATGTCTGTTCTTTCAGTTAAATGGCCTAAGAGAGCTAGCAGTGTGGCTCAAGTGGTCTAGCAATCACAAGGCCCTGAATTCAAACCCCAGTACTGAAAAAAAAAAAAAAAAGGGGCGGGGGGAGGGAGCCTGAGAAAGACACTGTAGGAAAAGGGAAGGAACAGGGAGCCAGACTCTCCATCACTCCTCAGGTCTGGTCATATACTTGCCTGGTACAAGACGCAGGGAAGAAAACTCAAGAGGTAGGTGTGTGTGTGTTTGTGTGTGTGTGTGTGTGTGTGTGTGTGTGTGTGTGTCAAGAGCTGGTATACCTATGTGTGTGTGTGTGTGTAAAGAGCTGGTATACGTGTGTGTGTGTAAAGAGCTGGTATACGTGTGTGTGTGTGTAAAGAGCTGGTATACGTGTGTGTGTGTGTGTGTGTGTGTAAAAAGCTGGTATACCTGATTTTGGTGGCAAAGAATGAGAGGATTTGGGGGAAGTCAAGGAAAGAATGAAAGTGGGGAAGACTCTGCCCTACCAAATTAGAGCTTTTTCCACCCTGCCAAAGGATGGCTATGAAGAATCCCCTCCCCACTCCTAGAACCCCCTTCCCAGGCAGTCCTCTCCTCCCAGCCCTGGCTCCTATTGAGGTAGCGAAACAAAACAGAACAAAACAAAAACCCTTGAAAAACCTAGAACAATGCTCTTATTTTATAAATGGGAAAAGTGAGACCCAGAGAAGAAATGTGATTTCTCAAAAATCATATGCTGAGTTAGTGATAGACTTAACACCAGAACCCATGTCTTCTGACCACCCATCCGAGGCTCTTTGCACTACACCAAGCTACAAGCATTCACATACACATACATACATATGGAAGGAAGGAGAGGGGAAGAGCAAGAGAAAAAAAGCTGTTGACCTCTTCTGTACACGTACTCTTTGCTACTCCCAGCAGAAGCAGGTAGAAAACACTTGGGGCTCAGGGAAGCAGGGGAAAAAAATGTAGGCTAAAATGGTATGGCTCAAGCCCTGTCAAGCTTCCCATACCCTCTTGCTTCAGAGTAGGGCACTCCCCTCAATGCAAATAACCCAGGGATAAAGGTGCTCAAATTCTAAACTCCCAAGTACCCTTCTTTTTGCTGAATCAAGTTCTAGACAAAAATCAGTACATCAAGCACCTGACAGGAAACTACAGAACTGGAATCCTAGAGCAGGAGCTATGGGTGCAACAGATAGCTGGGGAAGGTCCAGCAAACTTCCTACCTTCTGTCTCATACTATTATATGCCAATGCTCATTATGAGGGCATTAGGATGTGACAGAGGCTGGTGATGTGATATAAGAAGTACAATCCTCCTAAGTTCCCCTGGGTCTACTCCAGGGTACCAACACTGTCCTCCCACCATCTATCCCAAGTGTAGCAGTCACTTGCCCAGCAATTCAGACTCCAAAACACTCTTCCTCAGACAAACTTCCAATTCCCAGGAACCCACCCATACATAGGTTTCCACACTGGGCCCAAGCATCACTTGGGTGAATATTTCAAGCTCCAACCAGAAGAAAACCAGCTGCTTAAAGGTGGTCTAGAAGGAAAAAACAAACAAAAACACCCAGAGAGCCAGGTCTCTTGGACTGGAGGGAGGCATGGTTGTTGGGGAAAAGACTACAAAAGGACAGTCAGTACCCAGGTGGTAACACACACATAACAGGGACTTGTCACTCTTCCCTTCTCGGTCCTCCAAAGCAGGGTAATAGCACCTACACAAAATCAGCCTGCCCAGGGAAGGCCAAGATAGAAAAAGGGAAATTCAGGCCTCAACTGCTTCCAATGTCAGGCCTCTTTCCCATAAGCCTGCTTAACCACTTCAGGGAATGTGTCCTTAAGGCCACCCAGTACTCCAGCCAATTCCTTCTGCTGGCTTTCCTGACCTCTCACTACCCACTGCCACTCCTTCACCATGGACAAGGATACCACATACACCTGTGGCCAGGCTCCAAAAAGGAAAGTTTACTCAACAGGTCCCAGAGGATCCATTAGAAACCAGCCCAGATCTACAGCCGAGCATCAAAAGTGCCAAGTTGGATAAGGAGACCTATGATGCCCCCCTCAGGTAGGAACAAGCCTCCCCATTCTTAAACACATACACAAAAACACTGTTCCACCAAACTCAATTCCAGCTCTTGAAATCCCAAGTAGTCAGTGAACAACATTTAGCATCATTTCTCCTCCATGTCGCCAAGGCAGCAGCCTATACTGGACTTTGAGGGACTTCTCCTAGCCTAGCTAGGCTTATGAGGAAAAAAGTGGCCTTTGTTGCTGACATATGGAACAAGTGTTCCAAAGAGGGCAGAATTCCACAGCTCCACTGTTTCTGGGGGCCCAAGAAACCCCTATCCGGTGGGGCCACGTACATTCTGGGTCAGAGCAGAATAGAAATCTTACTACCAAGCAGACTAGGAAATCAAGTGTGTGTGTGGGGGGGGTGCGATATGCTGGAAAGGCCCTGTCATTGCTTTCAAGTGGGAAAAAAATGGAACAATTCCCTGAATCCACTTCAGGGAAATCAGAGATCATACCCTGTGAAACTGATTTCCTGACTGGTCCACCAGGCCAGAATATTATCATAGATGAACTGGCCTGGCAAAGTGTGAGTAAATATGAGTCAACCCACACAGGAGCAAACCAATGACCTCATCAAACACCTTCACAGTCACAGTAATTACCATTTACCAAGTGCGTACTATGCACAGACGCTACCTAGTTTAATCCAATCTCAGAAATAACTATTCCTGGGACCCATTTCACAGGCTAGGAGAGATTACATTACTTGCCCAAGGTCACACAGTTGCTAATCTTCAAAGTACAGACAGTGCTGTGATCTTCCTAGTACACCTCACAGCTTGCCTTAAGGGAAGTGATGACAGTAGATGGAGGAAAGGCCTTATTTAGTGGTGCGGAGCAACTAAAGAGATGTTCGGGAAGCCTCTGTGAACTCTTCGTAGCTCACTAGGCATCCCTGTCTTGAACCAAGACTGATCTTGAAAAGCAGGGATGGGGGGGGCTCAGACCCCAGGTCACTTGCGAGCCTCACACCACGAGAGCACCCCTGGCTCCAGCACTCTTTCTCCATCACATGCCGCATTCACAAGGGTCCCAGCAGCCATCTTCCCACACCTCGAGCTGCCCTCCGCCCTAAGACTTCACCTCCCGCTAGTCTAGTCGTTCATTCCCGGCCTCACCGCCGGCGACCACTGACCCTGGGCCTTACCGCTGGTGGGCGGATCTTGCAAATGCCCGACTTCTCGGCGATGGGCCTGATTTTCGCGATGTAGCCAAGAGGGTCTCGGAACTCGGCCCAGCTAGGCTCGAACACCGGGCACTCCGGCGGCGGTAGGAAGTCGTCGGACCCCGGCTCCATGGTGGGCCCGAAGACTGGGCCAGGGATCAGGAGGGCTCAGGCCACCCTTAAGGACTCATGGCGCCGCCGCTGTTTGAAACCGAGGCACTTCTCGGAGACTAGGCCCTAAGAGGGGCGGACGCCGCCCGCCGAGGGCCTTAGGGGGCGTGTGGCTGCCGTGTTCTAAGAGTCTCAGGCTGACACTACTGTTACCGCCTCTTCGTCCTTCTCTGTTCCTTCCAAACTCTGCGGCTACTTCCCAACTACCGCAGCCTTCACCACTACAGTTAAGTCCCAACTGCCGCGGCCTTCACCGCCGCCGCCGCCATCTTGGTTTGTCAGCGTCTCCCCCCCCCTCCCCTCACCACAACAAACGGGATCCCTCCGCGGGGTGTCCCTCCGAGCTTCGTATAACTTGAGTCAGGCTAAGACCGAGGAAACATTCATCCCGTGAGAACTGAGCTAAATATCTTGTATGAGCTTCCAATTTAGAAGCGGTTACTCAAAAGTAGCTCCCTGACTGAGAGAAAATAGTTCATTTCGGCGGCGGAGGAGCAAGATTGTAATTTGTTTGCCGGATCGTTTTCCCGGATGGACCGGCGGTGCACGTTTAAAGGCCAATGATGCGCATGCGCATCTTACAGACGGACCGGAAGAGGAGCTGAGTCCGTGGGTGGTGGGCCCGAAGTGGCACACACGCACACATACGCACACATTCAGCAGATCTTAACCAGATCGCTAGCCCCGCCCCAATGTTCTCTGCTTGTTCTCCCTGATCTTTTCAGCATGGAAGCATGGAGCACGGAACGCGGCTTCTGGTGTCTTATTTCAAGAGGCCCTTTCTGCTAGCCCGAGGGGGGGGGGTGGGAAAAACACTTAAGAGGCTCCCAGCTCTAAACCCTGACACCTCTGGGGCTTTGAATAAAGGAAGGCAGGAAATGGCTCACTTGCCGGGGAATACAGATTTTTGGAATGCTGGGCCCCAAGTAGAGGAAATATTTATTTCATCCAGAATTCCACAGAACCTCTGGGATGGGGTTTCCATTCTCACCCCCCAAAGAATAATTGTCAGCATTTCAATGAATTTTTTCAACTGTTCTGTATGCACTTTAACTGTACACATCTGTGTAAAGATCTGTGCTACTACGCACTGCTATAAAAGAAGACTGAACACACACATACATATATATGTATATATGTGTGTATATATATACACTGGATGTTTAACAACGGTGTAGTCTATCCAGTGGCTACTATGTAAAACACTTCTTTGCCAATTTGTGAGCCTACAGTGTACTGCTTCTCAAACATCTGTGTACATTGTATTTATTGTGTGTAGCCTGTCATGTGCATTTTAGTGCCTACTATGTGTACATCTACTGTTGTGTGCATGTTATTGAGCTGTTCCTGAATAGGTTCATTGCAACTAATTTGAATGAGTCTCAAGCCAGTACTTTGGGGCTGGAGATGTAGCTCAGAGGTAGAGTGCTTGCCTAGCATGCAGGAAGGCCCTGGACTCATTCCTAGCACTGGAAAACAAAACAAAAACAAAAACAGTACTTTGTCCATATTAGGCATTTTACTGCATTTGAGTGGATCATTCATATTATTCATCAGGTAAGGGCCTACTGAATATAGTCTGAACACCCACTGTGCACATATTTGAGTATTTGTGAACATGCTGATGAAGTGCTTATTTTGTGTTCTCCCACCAGATTATGATTTTTTTTAAGGGCAGAGACTTATGTGGCCTTATAGGTCCTTAGCAGCAAGCATGGTATGCAGTAAATGTTGAGTGAACAAAAGAAAAATGAATCAGTGTAATTTTTGAGCACAGTATATATTGGCTGAAAATAATGAATACTATGCAAACATTTGATACTATGTATATTAAGACTTATTAAACTTGAATGTGTTTAGGGGAGGGAGTGTTATTCCTTCATCCAGTTAACTGTTCCTAATCACATACTATGTGCCAATTAGGTACATTCTGCCTACTTCAGGACTGAGCTTAGGACATCCTAGCTGAGGGAGCAGGGCACACAGGTAGAAAGGCTCATACACCCTGAAGTCACAGGCTTGCTTTCCTGTTCCACCACCTCTGCCACTTCCTAGTTATGTGACCTTGGGCAAATCCCAATTTGAAATGGGAGTGATAATACCTCCCTTGAAGGATTGTGGTACAGTACCTGGCACATAGCAGGCCCTCAATATCTGATAGCTGTTATTTTTTTTTGAGAGTCAACAACCAGTGTGTCAAAACTCATTAAGAATTTCCTTTGTGAACTTGTGGAGTGGCTCAAGTGGTAAAGCACCTGCCTAGCAAGTGTGAGGCCCTGAGTTCAAACCCCAGTACCACCAAAAAAAGGAGAATTCCCTTTATAGCTGGGTGTGGTGGTGCACAATGGTAATCCCAGATACTCAGGCGGCAGGAGGATCTCCAGCTCGAGGCCAGACCTGGTAAAGGCAGTTGTGAGACTCTGTCTCATACAAGGCCCTGGGTGCTTGTGGTTCACACCTGTAATCCTAGCTACTCAGGTGGCAGAGATCAGGAAGATCAAAGTTCGAAACCAGGCCCAAGCAAGTAGTTCTTGAGACCCTATCTGGAAAAAAAAAACAATCCAAAAAGAAAACAAAAAGGCTAGGAGCTTAGCTCAAGTGGTAGGGTGCTTGCCTAGCATATGCAAGGTCCTGGGTTCAATCCCCAACACTACAAAACAAAAACAAAAAACTCCTTTGCTACACCAGGATGTAATGGAACATGCCAATAACCCAGCACTCTGGAGGCTGAAGCACAAGGATCATGCATTCAAAGCCAGCCTGGGCTATGTAGGGAGATCTTGTCTTTAAAAAAAATATATCTCTTTTGTGCTAGTGTTTTCATTGGAATTTTTGTTGTTTTTGTTTTTGACACAGGGTCTCTTAATATGTAGCCCAGTTGGCCTTGAACTCTGGATTCTCCTGCCTCAGCCTCCAGGGTGCTGGGATTATGGGCATGCACCACCACACAGGGCCCCATTTTTGTGCTTTTTAATTATCAGAATCCTTATATTACTTTTTATATTTATCTGTACTTTCCTTGTGTGGAAACTGGTCCCAAGCAATACAGATAGCAAGTGATATCTCCTTTCTAGTTTTCTAGATGTTAAGGGAAACCTCAGCCCCTCCCTGCCAGAAACACAGGTAAATGACCTATCTGAACAACTGTCTGGACTGGAAACAGAAAACTAGGCAAGGTGATGCTAATCACAGTAATATCACTAGGTTATGTAGATAAGCATCCAATAGCCTATGTAGCTTATTCATACCAATGATTTCCTTTAATCTTTGCAACAGTCTTGGGAAAGATGCAGACCAATTTACCAGTTCTGTAGATGAGGAACCAAGTTCCAGAAAGATTCAACAACTTGCCTAATGTTACACAGGAAGTTGCCAACTCCTGGTCAAATACTATTCCTGTTACTTACCCTCATCAGGAATAGAACTGAACAGGACAAAGGTGAGAATAATGAAGAAGGTTGGGAAATATGCCAATCCTAGACTGAAGAAAGTTCAGCCTTTCCACCTGGAGGCAGCTTAGTGAGGCGCAAAAAACATGAATCAGGAGTCAGGAGACCAGGTTTTGATCTTGGCTATGCCCAGGCTTCCTAGAGCCTTCTCTGAGGTCCTTAGCCCAGACATACCCTAGGGAAAACAGGCATTTCAGTCTTTCAAGCCAGTTAGAATGAATTCATTCACAATATTTATTAAATTTGTATTGTGCATCAGGCACTTTTGTGAGCACTGGAAATATAATGGAAACCAAGACAGACATACTTTCCTGGAGCAGACATTCACCCGCTGAGATTGGCCAAGTTCCTCATCTCCCTAAGCCTTGATTTTCTCCTTTCTAAGATGAGGCTAAGTAATCCCTTCCTCATCAAGTTACTAGGAAGATTAGAGATAATGATGACTGCCATTCATCAAGGACCAGGTGCTATGAAGTAGGTACTGTAATCCCTGTCTTACAGATAAGAATAAAACTCATGAATTGGTGAAGTCAGAACTCAAGCCCAGAACTGTATTCCATGATTCTGCCTGTGAAACTCTCAGATGGTGTTCCCCACACAGGAAAGTATTGAGAAACAAGTTCCTTTCCCAAGCTTCAGGCTTACTGGGGACCAACCAGAGTCTGGGCATTGCAGGCTTCAAAATTGGGAAGTATGGGGAAATTCACCCTGGGCTGAGAACCAGCCTGGCCTCAAGGGTCCAACATGAAGTTTTTGTTTTTGTTATTGTTGCTGTTTTTTTGGGTTGTTTTGTTTTTTGCAGCACTGAGGTTTGAACTCAGAGCCTCATGCTTGTTAGGCAAGCACTCTTACTGCCTGAGTCACTCCACCAGCACTTTTTTTGTTGTTTTTTTAGTGGTACTGGGGTTTGAACTCAGGGCTTCATGTTTGCTAGGCAGGCACTTTATCATTTGAGCCAATCCACCAGCCACCAGCACTTTTCTGTAATGGTTTTTTTTTTTTTTTTCAGATAGAGTCTTGTGAAGTATTTGCCCGGGACTGGCCCTGAACAGCGATCCTCCAGATCTCTGTGACCTGAGTTGCTAGTGAGCCACTGGTGCAGGGCTGGCATGGAGTTCTTACAGGGCAATAATTGAAAGTCTTGGCTGGAACCATGACCACACTCACCTCATTCGTTTTGTGGATGAGTTGGGTAAGAATGATTCTGTGACACTCCCCTTTTGGTGCTGGGGACTGAACCCAGGGCCTTAAACCCATGGCTTTGCACATGCTCTACCACTGAGCTATACCCCAAACTCCCATGCCTTATTTTTTATTTGTAAAATAGGGTCTCTTTCAGTTCTGAAATAGCTATGAGTTGTCAGTTTTAACTCCTAAAAAGCTCTTGAATCCATCTCCTCCTCCCCTGCCATCTTCCATTCCTCTTGTGCTCCATTTACTATCTCTAGCCAGGGTTCTTTTTGTTTGTTTGAGACGGGGTCTTGCTATGTTGCCAGGCTGGTCTCAAACTTGTATGCTCAAGTGATCCTCCTGCCCCAGTCTTTCAACTGGGTAGCACATTACACTCATGTACCTCCATGCCCAGCTGTAGCCTAGACTATTAAAAGAACCTCATCAAAGTATCTGTGTGAATTGATGGTTTATTAGAATAGATAAGAGAGAAGCAGAGAGAGGCATAGAGACAGAGGAACAGAGTCACAGACAGAAATATAAATGTATAATATGTGCTTAATACAGATACATAACAAAATCATATAATCAAAATAATGACAATTCAAAATGAATTATGACAGCAGAGGCTTATAACTCATCGATTAAAATAAAAATCAACTCCACATTGGTATAAATCGATAAAATGAGGGAAAAGGGAAAACTTTTCCTTAAAGTAGAATTCTAAAGAACAAATATAGAAGGAATTTGTGGAGTTAGGAAATCATCGATGGATACTCAAACTTTTTCCAAATACAAGAGCAAACTCTTAAAATATAGCTGCAATACTTGGTCCCCAAATCTTGTTTTCTAAATGCCATTCTCTGCCAGAATCAGGGCTCCTTGGAAAAAAAAAATGACTGACCCAGGGCTAGGGCAGGGAAAGTACAAGATTGAGCATTTTGTGGTGCCAAAAAAGAAGAAAGTACTCAAGGAAAGATGGAGTCACGCCCAAGGACACAGAAGCCAGCTTGGAAGGTTCCTGCTAGCCAAATCCGGGGCATTTTGGACATCAAAATAAAGAAGGTTAATGGAGCTGGGTGTGGTAGTACATGCCTGTAATGCCTGTAATCCCAGCACTCGGGATTACTAAAATGGGAGGATGGAGCATTCGAGGCCAGCTTGGGCTACCTAGGAGACCCTGTATCAAAAAAAGAGAGGGGGAGAATGGAAGGGAAGAGGGAAGGTGAAAGAGGAAAGGAGAGAGAGGGAGGGAGAGGGGGGAGAGAGAGAGACATTAGGGCCATTAAAAAGAAGTACTCTGGCCTGGTGCTGGTGGCTTATGCCTGTAATACTAGCTGTTTAGGAGGCAGAGATCAGGAGGATCTGGTTCAAAGCCAGCCCCAGGCAAATAGTTCCCAAGACCCTATCTCAGAAAAAACCCATCATGGGGCTTGCAGAGTGGTTCAAGTGATAGAGTGCCTGCCTAGCAAGCATGAGGCCCTGAGTTCAAACCCCAGTACTGCCAAAAAATAATAGTAATAATTTCCTAGAAAAAAACCATCACAAAAAAAATGGGCTGGCAGAGTGGCTCAAGTGGTAGAGCCTTTTTATAAAGTGTGAGGCCCTGAGTTCAAACCACAAAACAAAACAAAAAAAAGCAGTATTTTGTATTGTACTTTAGGAAAGATGCCTTGAGTGCATCTCAGGAATTGGCAGGACCCCACCCATCCCAGCATTGAGGGTCTAAAGGTCTTAACTCACATCAAAGACTATGCTTTGCTTTGCTTTGAGAGATGCTCCAGGACACCCTGCTGATATTTCTCGGGAAGTATTTCCCCACCTTCAGCCATCAGGGCACTTAGAGGATTGCAGCAGCCATGACGAGGGGGCCCCAACAGTAGCCTTCTCGCAACTGGCAGCAGCCTTTGACTGCTTTTGCAGGCACTCAGAACGCAAGAATTTTACAGGGTCAGCCAAAGCCTCTATGACCAGGCAGCCCCTGAAAGGGCAAGGCATGAAGCTGTGAGGGTGAAGCCAAAGATACAACAGAGACCTTGGGAAGTTAAAGACTGGGGAATGTGGAAAGTCTGCCCAGGAAAAGCAACAGGCAGCAGAGCCAGCCCAAGAGAGAGGCTATGTGAGTTGCAGGCAGGAAAGCAGTAGGCTGCCCAAGCCCTTTGGAGCGCACATCATGACACCCACCTTGTGCCCCAGCTGCTGGACATTCTGAAGCTACAGGATTTAATGTTTGCCCTGCTGGGTTTCAGCTTTGCTTTGGTTCCATCCTTCCTTTCTGGGCCCCCATTCTTCCCTTTTGGAATTAGAATGTTTGTTTTTTGGGTTTTTCTTGTTTTCGTTTTCTTTTTTTTGGGCAGCACTGGGGTTTGAACTAAGGCCTCATGCTTACTAGGCAGGTGCCCTACCACTTGAACCACTTCAGCAGCCCTTTTTTGTGATTTTTTTTTTTTGAGATAGGATCTCTAGAACTATTTGCCAGGGGCTGGCTTCAAACTGCTTTCCTCCTGATCTCTGCTTCCCAAGTAGCTAGGATTACAGGCGCGAGCCATGGCTAACAAAAACTATACAAACTCAGAGTATTACCTTACTTGAGCGGCTGCTGAGGCCAGGGTGAGGAAAAACCTATTGGTAACACAGCAACAGGAGCCACAGAAGAGGCCTGTCTGCATCAACAGTTCAGGGTCTGCTGGTGCCCGTAGCCAGAGCTCCACTTTTCCCTTGCTTTCTCACTGTCTGACTAACACAGATTCTCTCAGACCTCCCAGGTCTTTGCATGTGCTGCCTCCTCTAACAAATGTTTCTTTACCAGACTAATTTCTACTCACCCTTCAAGAGTCAGCTAAAGGGGCAGTTCCTGCAAATCCTAACTCCCTCCACCTGCAAGTTGGGTTCTTTGTGCCCCCACACACCCAGTGCTTCCTTCATGCTTTCTTCCAGGCCTATACTTATTGTCTTGACATTATCCCTACCAGACTGTTCGCTCCAGAGAATCTTGTCCACCACTATCCAATAGGACTGCCACTACCCACATGTGACTACTTAAATTTAATCGGTAATTAAAAAATTTAAAAATTCAATTCCTTAGTCACACAAGCCACATTTCAAGTGCTCAGTAGCCACAGTCAGGTCCGGTCTGTGAGACGGCATCAAATTTACATGGCTCCAGCTGCTGCTTTTGCTAGTTGTCATATGGGTGCCAGGCATGGTGGCACATGCCTGTAATCCCAACAACTCAGGAGGGAGAAGCAGGGGGATTGCAAGTTGGGGGCCAGCCAGGCAAAGTTAGTAAGACCCTATCTTTAAAATCAAGATGGGATGGTAATGCACGCCTATAATTCCAGCTATTCAGGAGGCAGAGGTAGGAGGATCACAGTCTGAGGCCAGCACCAGGCAAAAGCATGAAACTCTATCTAAAAAATAAAATAAAGCAAGGCTGGGAGTGTGGTTCAAGTGGTAGAGCATTTGCCTAGCAAACACAAGCCTCTGAGTCCAAACCTCCGGACCATCAAAAAATATAAACAAAAGGGCTGGGTGCATGGCTTAACTGGTAAGACTACTTGCCTAGCATGCTCAAGGTCCTGGGCTCAATTTCCAGTATGGCAATAAATAAATAAATAAAGTATGTATGTATATGAGGAAGAAAACCAGCAACAGTCCAGTTGCTAAAGTGGAGCCATCTAAACCATTCCCTCTTAGAGGCCATTCCAGATTCTAGGAAGGCAGCAAAAACATTGATTGAATGCCACTTCTGGGGACCCTGCTGCCTAACCAAGAGCCCTTGGTGTGCCCCACCTCTCCTGAGCTAGGCTGAGAGCTAGGACATTTTTAGTGGTGCCAGAAACAGGTCCATTTCCTTGGGAAGCAGCTTGGGGCACTGGAAAGGGGCCTGGCCTAGAAGTCAGGAAACCCCATCCTGACTCGCCGTGTGCTCTATACCTTCCTCTGTAAACTAAAGGCAGCCCAGCTATTTGTTATTTAACATCCTAAGTATATACACAGAGCTCTTATATCTAGCCTTGTGCCTTCTTGGCCCAAGTCACCTTCCCTACCCTCGAGGACAGAAATGTGGCCAGCCACTGCACAGAGGATAGGGGACAGAGGTTCCAAGGCAAAGCCAAGCCAGCCACAGTAAAGGTGAGAATAGAGGCCACAGCATGTGAAAGGAAGACATGGGAACTAACTTGCTGAGCATCCACTCCATCCTGGCTGCTTGACATTCATGACCTCATGTAATCCACAACTCTACGTGGTACCAGCTGATCATCCCACGTGGCAAATTGATGAAACAGACTCAGAGAGAGCAACTTCCCAAAGTTCACATGCCTAAGGAAGTAAAAACTCCAGGATGTACACTGGATCAACTCCAAAGGCCATACTCTTGCTACTGTGTCACTCAGACTATGTATGAAATAAGACAGGAAAACCTCCCTCACCCCACCTCCCACCCAACCAAAGCACCTCTCCCATCCAGTTGCCTGAGTTACCATTAGTGTATTCACCTCCCCAGGCTAAGGCCTCTCTCTCCAGGGGCTCCATAGTGGGGAAGGGGGAGCAGAAGTAGGAGGCAGAGGCGGGAGGTGAGCACAAGGTCTTTTATGAGGCATCAAATATACATTCTTATATACAAGGAGGAAAAAAGACAATGCCTGAACCCCAGCTCCTCTCCATACAGCCCCTCCCACCACCATCACCACCACCCCGTCCTACACCCCCCTACCCCCAACCCCCCGCGCCTCAGGGTCCCTGGCCCTTTCACAGCCAAGGTCCATCTGTCTATACTGCAGCCCATAGTGGAGAGGGGAGAGGAAGGCAGGAGCTGAGAAAGGAGCTGGATGTGCAGGGCAAGAAGAGGAACTAGGGCTTGTAAAAAATATATTTATAATAAATAAACAGGGTTGCAAAAGGGTTGGAGAGGCAGCAGAGATTTTGATGGACAGAAGAACTTGGGCATTCTGGCTCCCAGCCCTGGCTCTGATGGCTTCAATCTCTGCCTCAGGAAGGACATCTTGGGCTCAAGGTGGCCCCCTGGGAGCCTCTCCCCAGGGCTGATGCTGAGTGCCCTGCCTCAGCAAGGCGTGTGTGGGCGTTATCTGTAAAGTGCATTGTCTTCGGTTGTAGGTGGAAAAGGTGGAAGGGAATGGGGGGGGCATGCAATATGGGTGAGGGAGGGCAGTGCCCTTCTCATCCCAGACCTGAGCCTCCCCCACCCCAAAACCTGTCTGGACTTTGATCAGGATAAGAACGTTGCAGGGCGAGGCAAGTTCCTGAAGCCGAAGAGGTCTGGACTGGGGCCTACTGGAGAGAGGGCATAGACTGGCTTGAGAGAGGAAGCACTGCCCCGTGTGGGGGCCAGCACAAGCGGGGGTGGGGGGGGAGTGTCCCACCCACCGAGTGCATTGACAGTCTGTGTCCTCCAGCAGGCAGAAAGACACATGGAGGTGTGTGGCCAGGCCCTGAGGTCAGAGAGGGCCTAGCCAGCTGAGGTTTGGCCACAACTCTACAGAGCTCTTCTCTTCTCTTAGCCCCACACGGCCAGAGGAGCTCTGGGGAAGCCTTCACCCCTACAGCTCCGGACATCTGCCCTTCTCCACCAGCCAGAGCTGCAAGGGAGCTCACATTGGCCTGGAGGTCTGAGGCCACCGAGCTAGACCTCCAGGACAAGGGGTGAAGAGGAAGACAGGAAAAGAGGATGAGGATCTTTGAAAGACCCTCACCACTACCCAGTGTTAAGAGTGCCCTAAGTCCAGGCTGTAAATGGCAAGGGTCCTCAAATCTGGAAGAAAACCCCGAGGCAACTACTGAGGGTTGGAGGAGGGTTACCAAGGCAGTGAGAAAGGGGAGAGGACATTATTATGTGTATATGTATTTTGAAAAAACTGAGGAAGAAGAGAGGGGAAAGGTCCCTCTCCTGTAGATTCCCCAGGCCTTTCTGTTCCTCAGCTTGCTCACTCCATTCATCAGACCACGGTGCTGATCCGGCTTGGCTTGGCCTTGGGGTTTGCACTGGGTGGGTTAGCCGTGCCAGGGGGCCCAGAGGCGTGCAGCGGGCCATGGGGGGAGGTGGGTGGCAGGGGTGAATGCGGGGTGTGGGGTGAGGGTGGGGGTAGAGGTGGGTAGGAGGGGTGGGGTGGGATGGGTGAGTGCGGTGACAATGGTGACTGAGGGTGGTGGGGGTGGGAGTAGGAGCTCCCTGGTGGCCGGGACCCAGGGCCCCCAGCTGCGCCTGCTGCTGGCATCATCTGTGGGTGGTGACTGAAGATGAAGTGCTTGGGGCCCTGCTTATGGGCAGGGGGGTGCTGGGGGGCAGGGCTATACAGGGGCAATGGGGATGTGGGCTGGTGCAGGGGGTGGCGGCCATGTGGAGCAAACTGAGGGTGACCTCCAGCCCCCCGTCGTGGGGCCCTGCCTGGCCGGCCCAAGGTATAGTGCTGGGGCCCTGGGACTGGGCCATGGGCATGGAAGTGGCGATGTGGCCCCACAGGTGGGGCTGAGGCGGGTGGTGGTGGAATGGAGCTCAATTGAGGCAGGGGTGGAGGCTGCTGAGGAGGAGGGGGCAGAGGGGGTTGCTGGGGTGGGAGGTAGGGTGGCGGGGCAGGGCCGGGTCCTTGGCAATACTGGGCATGCAGGGCCTGGAGCTTGGACTGCCCATCAGGTAGCACCCCCAGGCCACCGTGGCTGTGACCATGGTGGTGGTGGTGGTGGTGGTGGTGGGTGGAGGAAGCAGATGAAGAGGAGGCAGAGGCCTGGCCTGTTGGTGGTGGTGGCATCTGGAAGGGCCCCTTGCCCCGCTTGCTTCCAAATAGGGAGCCCAGGAAGGATGAGGAGTTGGAGACCGGCCTCTGGCTCTTGTACTCCTCTGGCGGCGGGGGTGGGGGCGGAGGTGGCATCCTCTGGTGAGGGCGTGGACTGCTAATAACAGACCCCTGGAAGCGGGGAGGGGGGAAGTCAGGCCAGTCTAGACATATTAAACCCCCAACCCTAAACTCCACCCCTGTCTCTGAGGGCTGGAGCTGGGGAGACAGGGATCCCCAAGTAATAATGGAAAGCAAACAGTAGTCCTATACTCATAAGTGGAGCTCCCCAACTGGCAAAGCTCTGCTGCCACATCCACTACCTCAGCTGAGGCTCAGCAGGCAGAGGAAGAATTAGTAGGACCTCTTCCTCATGCCCACTTTGCAGGCTAGGAAAATGTTAGGTCAGAGAGGCAGTGACTTGCTCAGGGTCAAAAAGCAGGACTTGGAGGTAAAAGCTTCTCATGGCCCAAGTCCAAGGGTATCCCTACTCGGAGTTGGCCTAGGGTTGAGAAGGGACATGGGAGAGTGGAAGACAGACTGAGAGACAGCAGAGTGAGGACAGACAGAGTTGAGAACAGATGGAGAGAGTGGTTGGCTGGGAGAGGCAGCTGCACGGTTCCCAGCAGGGAAGAGGGTGAAGCAACAGGTTCCCTCCTCCTCTGGGGCTCCTTGGCCAGGGCAGGGCTCATGCAGAGGATCAGTGGGGCAGGAAGCTGGCACTTACTTCGATGGTGCTGTCCAGCGATCCCACGCTGTTACGCCGCCCCCGCTTCCCTGCACCCACAAGCAAGGAGCCCAGCGTCAGAGCAGCAACCCCCTCTCCCCACCCTGCTGGGCTCCAGAGCTGGGCACCAGGCCTGGGCCCCTCCCGGGGACAGACACCCCATTATCCCTTTCCCCCATTGAAGAGGGGGAGGTGGGGAGGAGAGGTGGAGAAGGAGGAGAGAGAGGAGGAGAAGATGGAGAAGGAGGAGAGGTGGAAGAGGAGAGGCAGAAGAGGGAAAGAAGGGGAAATAGGCTCCACCTGTTCTGACCTGGCTACCAGGCCCCCTGCAGCGCAGTGCCCAGGGCTCTGGGTGAAGGCAGGGTGTGTGTATGCGCAGCAGGTGGAGGGGAGGCTGGCGGCCAGTGACAGGAGGCAGAGAGGACACCTAGTCCCACATCTCCCCAGCCAGGGAAGGGGCCCAAAAGACTTACCTGCATCAGAGAGGTCTCGCAGTGAACTGCTGAGTGCACCCCGTTTGAGCCCATCGCCTGCTCCATAAGTGTCCTCCAGGCTACTGCGGGCCAGTGTTCCATTCACTGAGTCCTTGGCTCCTCCAGACTGTGAGGCATTAGGCCGCATCATACCTTTCTGCTTCTCCAGCTCCGCTGGGTGGCAGTGGGGGGAGACACGGAGCAAAGGTTAGGAACAGGAGTAAGAGCTCACCTGATTGATCTCAGCCTTCCATGGGCCTTCCTCCTTCCTCCCTCTGGCCCCCAGGCCTCATGTCTTGTCTCCTGGAGTGCCAGTACTTGTTTTCCCCTAAACTGCAGCTCCATCTCCAAAACTCCCTCAGTGTTCAGGCCCTGTCCTACATCACCTCCTCCTGCTTGGTCTTTCCTTCCTCCTTTTCCCCTCCTTTCTACCTTCATATCCTTCCCTTCCTGTGCCCTCTTGTAGTCAGGTCTCCACATACACAGCTACCCTTCGAGTCAGACTTTCATGGCATATGATTCACAGTAAGGGTGGGAAGGCCCTTTTAACCTATGACGAAAGGCAATGTTTCCAGAGTTCGCTCAATTCTCAGATACCTTCTCCAGAGCAGAGGGGCTCCTGACAGGAATCAAATCCTCTATTATGTGCCGGGCAGTGTGCTGGGGGCTATGCATACTTGATCCCTTTCAGTCCACATTATTCGCATCATCCACATTGTACAGAGGAAGAAACTGAGAATCCCAGGAGTCATAGAGCTTGCCCAGGGTCATACAGCTGGGAATGGTGAAGCAGACATTCTGGAAGCAGGTCTACCCAGAGCCTGGGCTCTCCTGTCCTTCTTATACTCTTGCCTCCTTACATCCCTATGCCTCCACTGAGGTCCTGGAAACTCTTGCTTATTGCCCCCCCTTATCTTGATATGACAATCCCCTGCCCTGCACTTCCCCAGAGACTCCAGGGATCTGCTCAATAGAAACTTCTGACTCTGCCTTGCTGAGGAATAATGAAGACCTAGAACTGTGAAGGCCTCACCAAGGAGCTGTCTGAGGCTTCTGTCTTTCCCTGTCTGCCTGCCTCTTTCTCCTTAACACCATGTTACTTAATTGTGACTACTTAGCCTGGAGAAGAGAAAACTTGGAGGGCATAGGGAAGAATGAGACATAATCACTATTTTCCACTGTATGTGATCAAGACATAATCACTATTTTCCATTGTCTATGTTCAAAATGACTTGGTGTAGTCCCTGAGGGTTGGGGGATACATTGTTGGGATTTAGCTCAGGAACTGATATGTAGGAAGAGGAAAAGAGAGGATGGGACAAGGAAAGATATTTACTCAACACCGAGGATGTACACTTTGGTTATCTTGTCTCATTTCATCTTCATAATTCTGGAAGATATTTCATTATCCCAATTTCATATAGGAAGAAACTGAGGTTTGCAGGGCTAGGCAACTCACCCCGGTTTACCCAATAATAAGGAGCATACCTGAAATCTGAAACTACAGCCCTACTTCCTATACCTTGATTCCTAAAGCCTGATGCCTTTCAATGGAGGGAGAGTTGGCTCACAATTGGAAGATGGGCATGGGGGCCACAGCATAGACTCTTAGGGCTTGAAATAATAATCTGAGGTTGGAAGATAATGAGCCTGTCACTGAAGGTATTCAAGCAGAGGATGAAGAGGGATGAGGGTAGGACAAATTGGGCAACCTAACCTTCAACTCTTTTGTGGGGGACAGTACTGGGGTTGGAACTCAAGGCTTCATGCTTACTAGGCAGGTACTCTACCACTTGAGCTGCTCCACCAGCCCTAACCCTCAACTCTTGATATTTTCAGGAGACAGGATTCTTGGTGTCTGCAGGCCATTGTATCAGGAGAGCAGGAAGGAGATGTGTCTGGGCTACTCACACTCCACACGGTATTTCTCCATCTCCTGCACCTCAGCAATGGATTCACGTAGGTCGGATGTGAAGCGTAGCCGGTCCTGGAGGCTAGGGGCATTGAAGATGATGAGGACTTTTCGCTCTCCACCAGGTACTGCAGACAGTAACTTGATCCCAAACTGGTAATCTGTGGGCAAAGGAAGTAGAGAGGAGAGGTTGGGCACCTCTATCAGGACTGCAGCAAGGTGGGTCACATAGGAAATGATTTCTCTGTCTCTCTTTTTGAGATAGGTCTCACTATGTTGCCCAGGCCTCAAGTGATTCTCCTTCCTCAGTCTTCCAAGTGCTGGGAATATAGGCAGGTACCATGTGCCTGACTTGGAAATGATTTCTCTAGTATCCAACTCTGAAAGGCCTTTCCTCTGCTCAAGAATCTTCAGCAGTTCCTCTTTGCCCCCAAACTCCTGGTGGCTATAGCCCTTATAAGTTCCTCATACCCAGGACATAAAGGCAAATTGAATTGTGCATTGTTTTCTAGAAACTCTTTCCTTTGTCCCTCTGCCTGTGCTCATGATGATTCTGCTGTCCTGCATGCCATCCAACCATGTTCTTCCTGGCTCAGTACTTCAGAGTATAGTGTGATCACCATCTCTTCGGCTCACCAGGGAACACACAAATACTGTGGTTATCTTCTCCCCAGGGGCCATACCTGAGTCACACATCACCCTGGCCTTCCCTTCATCCCAAAACCAAGTAGATACTTTGGAGACCTTAGCCCAATTGTAAAGGACTCCAAAAACCGGAGGTTAGTATGGATGAAGGATAAGCATGGGTCCATAGCATAGACTCCTGGGATGCTAGGGTCCAAGAAAGAACTCACATGAATTCTGGAAGAGCTGCATGTGCATTTCCACCAGGGGAAAGGACTGACGGAAGCTGTATGTCACCAAGATCTTCTTCTTCTGGAAAATTTTGGTGACCTTTGGCAGGGGTGGGAAAAAGACAAGAGGCAGGATTTGGGATAGGAAATTTCCACATGGCAGCTATTTCTAGTATCCCCCCTCCCTTTCTACCCCTACTCACAGACATATACACATAAACACACATACCCACAAGTTGGGAAGAACCGAAGCTTGAGAAAAAAAATGGAAGAGACAGGAGAAAATGCAAGTTCCTGAGGTCATGATGATACACAATGAACATTTGCAATTTTTACAGGAACTAACAGCTCACACAGACTTTCATTTCCCTTTTCTGAGCTGCAAGAGTGTTGGTTCAGTACCTTTCCCTTGACAGGCTTTTATGGTAGTCCTCTGAGTATATGATTGCCCCCTTCTGACCTGGAGGGCAAGAGTCTGGTTTTCTGGTTCTCTCACCCACCTAGCCCCCACCATCCAGAGCCAGAACACAATGGTAATCTCTGCCCAGACTATGTACAGGATTAATAAATCTTCCTCTCAACAACCCAAAGTCTTTACCAAGCACTTTGCTCTTCTGGACTCTCCACTAATATAGGTTCAGGCAGTCTGCAAGTGGCTTTTTTTTTTTTTTTTT